AGGTGTGACCCATGGGTGATGCGGGGGGGGGGGGGGTTGGAGGAGGCCGAGAGGGTAGGGGGGGGGTACTTTCGGTCGTGGTTCGGGGAAGGGGGAGGAGGAGGAGGAGGAGGAAGGGAGGAGGGGAGGAGGAGGAGGAGGAGGGAGAGAAAGAGACGGGAGAGGGAAGTGGGAGGAGAGGAGGAGGAGGAGGGAGAGGGAGAGGAGAGGGAGAGAGGGAGAGGGAGAGGGAGAGAAAGAGATGGGAGAGGGACGGGGGAGGAGGAGGAGGAGGAGACCGAGGGAGGGAGGGAGGGAGGGAAAAGGAGGTAGGACGGCGGTGTGGTGTAAGGTTAACGTTAAAGCGTGGAGCATGGTGATGGTGGTGATGGTGATGATGGTGCAGGAGAGCTTGGTGCGCTGAGTCGACGTTAGGATGAAAAGTAATGAGGTCTGAGCAGGAGAATGGGGGGTGATAGGCTATAGTGAGAGAGATAGATGGATAGATATTCGTTTTATGAGAGAGAGAAAGAGAGAGAGAAGGAGAAAGGGAGAAGGAAAGAGAGAGAGAGAAAGAGAAAGAGAAGGAGAAAGAGAAAGAGGGAGAGAGAAAGAGAAAGAGAGAAGGAAAAAGAGAAAGAAAGAGAGAAACAGACAAACAGACAGAAGATACGGCGGGGGTGACAGAGTGAATGAGTGAGTGTGAGAGTGAACCGAGTGTGAGACTGTACGTGTGCGTATGTGCGTGCGTGTGCGTGCGTGTGTATGTGTGTATGTATGTGAGTCTGGCGCACGAGACTCCAAAGAATTGTCCTGGCCAGGGTGTGGAACGTCAGAGTGAGGCCGAAGGGTGTTGAGAGTGAGGGTGAGAGCGCGTGTGGCCCCGACGCTGGGGAGAGACTGTCTAGGTGCCAAGGGGAGAGAGAGAGAGAGAGAGAGAGAGAGAGAGAGAGAGAGAGAGAGAGAGAGAGAGAGAGAGAGAGAGAGAGAGAGAGGAAGAGAGAGGGGGGGGGCAAATTTAAGTTTGTAATAGTGAGAGAGAGAGAGAGAGAGAGAGAGAGAGAGAGAGAGAGAGAGAGAGAGAGAGAGAGAGAGAGAGAGAGAGAGAGAGAGAGAGAGGAACAGAGAGGACGGACAGGGAAATAAAGAAAGAGGAGAGGGGAGAGTGGTGTTCCCGGAGAAGAGGGATGAGTGTGTGGGGGGAGGGGGAGGGGGAGTGTGAGTTGAAAGCAGAAGGGGGGGCGGGGGTAGGGGCTGGCGATGGTCAGAGGAGGGAAAAGGGGAGGGCGGCGAGGGGGAGGGAAGTGCGATAGACAGCGATGCGGTGGAGTGGAAAGGGAGGAGAGGCGGGGTCGGGGGAGGGAGGGAGGGAGGGAGCACGTCGGAGGGGCGGGGCGGGGAGGGAGGAAGGGAAGGAGGGAGGGAGGGAGGGCTGCGGTGGAGGGCAGTTTGTCGTGGTGGAGAGTGTGGTCTGGGTGACCCGGACCCTGGCCGGAGTTACGACATGCCGTGGTCGAAGCGGGTGAGCGTGAGTGTGGGCGGGGGTGGGCGTGCCGGGCGGGTGGGGGCGGCGGGGCAGAAGGTCAGCGCATCGTTGCGGGGTCAGGCGCGGTCAGCACGCCCGCGTGGAGCACGGCGCCGCCCGCTGAGCCGTGCCTCAGCATGAAGCTCGGGGACGTGGCTGGGGTCCGCCGGGCTCCTCGCGCGCTACCTGCTCGTCCGCCGCCCTCCTCCGCGGCCGCTCGCTCGCCCAAGGAGGAGGAGGAGGAGGAGAGAGAAATTAAGAAAGAAGGAAGGAAGGAAAGAAAAAAAATGTCCCGTCTGTCCATTGAGAAGGCCGGCTGTTAGTGTCCCTGGATAAAGAAAAGAGAAAGTCCCCAGAGTTGGCCTATTTACAGTGCGTGTCGAGGAGTGGCGGGCGGGCGCGACGTGGCGGCCCCGCGCGAGGGCCCTGGGAAGTCTCCGGCGCCGCGCCCGTGCATGCGAGCGCGCGGTGGAAAGTGCTGAGTGCTGGCCTTGCGGGCCTGGGGCGGTGGGGGTGACGCAGCAGAAGTCGCAGTAGCAGTGGCGACGAGGTGGTGAGTACACACACACGCACACCCTATGTACGGACGCACACGCGGGCGCACAGTGGCTGATTGATGCCACGTTCGCGCCTGGACATCTACGTCCCCGTCTTCAGGACCACGCCGTGCATAGAAGCGCACGCGAGGATGCAATTCTCTCTTCCTTATTCCTCTATGAATAAATTTGATCCCGTTTCTGCCTGCCGCTATCGACATGATACTTAGACATTCCCGCGGCGCAAAATGGAAATAAAAAAGTTACCCCGTGATTGATAGGATTGGTTAACGTGCCGCTTCTTTTCCTATTAATGATGCTGTTGCCGTTGCCGCCGAGGGCTCGAAGGCGAAGCCGCAGCCCGACGCGGACGCCGACGGGGCTCGCGGATGAGGCGGTGATGGGGCGCATTTCGAGGGGGAGGGCGGGGGGGGGGGGCGAAAAGGACGAGGAGGACGAGGGGGAGGGGGGGGAGAGGAGAGGAGGATGGAGGCGCGGGGGAGGGCGAAGAGGAGGAAGGTGATGGGAACGATAACCAGGGGTTGCAGATAAGGATGATGATGTAGAGGAGGAGAACGAGAATTAATGATAAGAACAGAAATAAATATCAATAATGATTGTTATTATCAGTATCATTATTATTGTATTTATAATCATTATCACTAAAAGAAGAAGAAGAAGAAAAAGAAAAAGAAGAAGAAGAAGAAGAAGAAGAAGAAGAAGAAGAAGAAGAAGAAGAAGAAGAAGAAGAAGAAGAAGAAGAAGAAGAAGAAGAAGAAGAAAAAAAAGAAAAAGAAAAAGAAGAAGTTGACGACGGAGAATAAAAGTCGAAGAAAAAAGAAATATAGTAAAAGCGGGAAGGAACGGAAGGGACAGGAAAGGACTAGGAGGAGGAAGGAAGATGGTCAAGATGAAGAGACTTGATTTAGGAGGCCGCAGGGGGGAGGAGGGGGAGGGGGGGGAGGTGGCGAGGGAGGAGAAAGAGGGTGAAGGAAGGGAAGGAGGAAGCAGGGGAGGGGGAGGGGGAGGGGGTAGAAGGCGAGGGAGAGAGAGAATAAAGGAAGGTGAGGAAGGAGGAGGATATAGGAGGAAGGGAGGGACGAAGAAGAGGGTAAGGGAATAGGAAGGAGGAGGTGGAGGAAAGGAAAGAAGAAATGGGGGTAAGAAGGGAGGGTAGAGAGAAGCTGAAAGAAAAAGGAGATAGAAAGAGGGTGAATAAAAGAGAAGAGGGAGGTGAAAAGGAAGAAGTAGGATGAAAGAAGAGAAGACATATGAAGGACGAAGAAAAAAGGGAAAGGAAGAAGGAGGACGAAGAAAAAAAAGGAGGAAGGAGAACTAAAAAAAAAAAAGGGAAAGGGAGAAGGACGGCGTAGGAGAAGAAGAGGAAGAAGAAAAAGAAGAAGAGGAAGAAGAAAAAGAAGAAGAGGAGGAGGAAGAAGAAGAAGAAGAAGAAGAAGAAGAAGAAGAAGAAGAAGAAGAAGAAGAAGAAGAAGAAGAAGAAGAAGAAGAAGAAGAAGAAGAGGAAGAGAAGAAGAAGAAGAAGAAGAAGAGGAGGAGGAAGAGAAGAAGAAGAAGAAGGAGGAGGAGGAAGGAGGAAGGAGGAAGGCCGGGGCGCGCAGGGGAAAACTGTCGTGATTGGTCAAGTGATTAGGGTAATTTTGGAGAAGGGGGAGGTCAGGGATTGGAAGACGATGGCGAAATTATGAGAGAGGGGTTAATTACGGTAATTATGGGCTGGTTAGAGGTGGTTATGTCCAGGGGGGAGGGAGGGAGGGGAGGGGTGGGGGAAAGAGGGGGAAGGGAGGGAAGGGAGGGAGGGAGGGGGTAAAGAGGGGGAAGGGAAGGGAGGGGTGGGGAGAAGGAAGGGTGGGAGGATTGGGGTAAGGAGGGGGAAGGGAGGGAGGGGTGGAGGGAGGGAAGGGAGGGAGGATTCGGGTAAGGAGGGGAAAAGGAAGGGAAGGAAGGAAGGAAAAGGGAGGAAGGGTAGGGAAATGAATGAAGGAAGGAAGGGAAGGAATGGGAAGGGAAGGGAAGGGAGTGAGAGATGGAAGAGGAAGGAGGGAATGATGCTGAAGGAAGGAAGATTGAGGGAGAGCAGGGGAGGAGGAGGGTAGGGGTGGGGGTGGGGGAGGGGCAAGGGATTTTGGAGGCGGTCGAGTTAATTGTTGAGGAGAGACGGGAGGAGGAGGGGGAGGGGGGAGGGGGGAGGGAAGGGTACCGTAGGATTGGGTGGGAAGGGATGGGGTAAGGTACGATATGGGGGGGGGGCGGCGGCGTAGGGCAAGGGAAGGGGGGATGGGTAAGGAAAGGTGGGGGGGGAGAGGGGGAGGTAAGGGAATGGCGATGGGTAAAGAAAGGTAGGGGAGGGTAAGGGGGGAGGGGAGAAGATGGGTAAGGTAAGGGGGGGAGGAGAGAAGATGGGTAAGGTAAAGGGGGTAGGGGAGGGATAAGGTAAGGGAGAAGGGAGGAGGAGGAGGGGTAAGGCAAAGAGGAGGAGGAGGAGGAGGAGGAGGAGGAGGAGGAGGAGGAGAGAGAGGATAGGTAGGGTACACTAGGGTAGGAGAAGGGTAATTAGGGAACAGTGAGGCATAATTATGGATGCTATTGGCCACGAGGTAATTATGAGTGACGGTCGGATTCTTTGGAGATGATCTAAATTTCCTTTTTTTTTTTTTTTTTAAGGGCGTGATTTTTTTTTCTTCTCTTTGAGGGGGGTGATCTAAATTCTTTTGGATAAGGGGGGGTGGGGTGGGGTGGGTGGGGTGGGGGGAGGGAGGAGTGGTGTCAAGATCAGAGTCTTTTTTTTTTTTTTTTTTTTTTTTAAGTTCTTTACTGTTTTGTTTTTCGTTGATTTACTTACTTACGCAGGATTGTTTATTTATAAGAAATTAATAATAAAAGAAAAAAAAAAACATGAATAAAAAAGGTGAATGAAAAAAAAGGGTGGAAACGGAAGCAAAATGAATGAAGATGAGCAAGAGTAAATGAATGAGGACTATGATGATGAATGGATGCTACTTGCAAAGGACGAAGAGCGGAGATGAGGCGAGGACGAAGGCGAAGAGGAGGGAAGGAGGGGGGGGGGAAGGGAGAGGAGGAGGAGGCAAGGGGAAGAGGAGGAGGAGGAGGGAGAGAAGGAGAAAGGGAGGAGGAGGAGGAGGAGGAGAAAGGGAGGGATGTAGGAGGAGGAGGAGGAGGGAAGAAAGGAGGGAAGGAGGAAATGAGGGAATGAGAGAGAGAGATAGAGGGAACGAAAGGGGATGAGAAGGAGAGGAAAGGATTGAGATAGAGGAAGAGAAGGAGAGGGAATGAAAAGGAGAGGAGAGGAGTGAATGAGAAGAAGGGAGAGAGGGAGACAGAAGGAAGGAATAAAGAGAAGGGAGAGGAGAGCGAAGGAAGGGACGGCGGCCAGGCTCCCCGAACCGCCGAGGACAAGGCCGCTGATAGGGAAACGAGGTGAGCCGTTTGAGTGGTGATTGAGATGGAGGAGGAGGAGGGGGAGGGGGTATGGGGGTGAGGAGGATGTTCGAGGTCTCCCTCTATCCCTCCCTCCCCCCCTCCCCACTCCTCTCCCCCTCCCTCCCTCCCCCCCCTGGCGGTGCGGCGGCGGCGCCACCAACCTGGGGTCAGACGCCACCACCCAGATTTATGGATCTCTTATTGTTGGACTTGTTCCTTTTTGTAACTTATATACCTGTCTAATCCCTCTCCTCCTCCCCCCCGCCCCTCCACCTCCCCCCTCCTCTTCTTCTTCGCCTAGTGGATGTAGGCACTCCGTTCCCTGGGGCGATGGACCCCCCTCCCTCTCTCTCTCTCGCTCCTTCTTCTCCTCCTCCTCCTCCTCCTCCTCCTCCTCCTCCTCCTCCTCCTCCTCCTCCTCCTCCTCCTCCTCCCCCCCCCCCCATTTTTACGTTTTCATTTTGATTCCCTCTCCCATTTTCCCTTCTGTCATTCATCTTTCCTCTTCCTCCTTCCTCCTTCCTCATTCCTTATTCTCCCATCCCTTTCCCCCCTCCTTTACCTACCCCTCCCTCCTTCCCCCTACCTATCCCTCCCTCCCTCCTCCCCCCTACCTATCCCTCCCTCCCTCCCTCCCTCCCCCTACCTATCCCGAGGGGGGGTGGGGGGTGGCGTCCAGGGTGATAAGGCGAGCGAGAGTCAACGGAAGGATTATTATTCGAAAAATTGATAAATAAAAAAAAGAGTTTTTTTTTGTCTTTATTTTTTTATTTATTTATTTATTTATTTTTTTTTTTGCCTCGATTTTTTTTTTTTTTTTTTTTTTTTGGAAGGGGAGGGGGAGGGGGAAAGGGGTAGGTGGGTAGGTGGGGGCGAGGGTGGTGAGCGGGGGGGGAGGGTGGTGATGGGGGGGAGGGGGAGGGAAGGGGGTTGATGGTATGAATTCATTATGTGAATATTAAGTTGCATTTGCAGCAGCCCTGATTTACGTGTATTTAACGTGATGTTTACACCTCCCTCACTCATTCTGTCGCCTTCTCCCCCCCTCCCCCCCCGCCTCGCCCTTTCCTCTTTCAGTCCTCTTTCTCCCCTTCTTTCTCTCCTCCTTCCTTTCTTCCTTTTAAATCCTTTCCCTTCTAGTTCTCTTCCGTTATCCTTCTCCTGCTTCCCTTGTCTCTTGTTCTGTCTTTGTCTCTCCCCATTCGTGCTCCCTTTCCTATTCTCATTCCCTCTGCCCCCTCCTCTCTCGTCTTTTCTATCTTCCTTCTTCCCTTCTTTCCTCTCCTCTTCCCTCTGTTCCCCCTCTCCCTTCCCCTCCCCTCCCCCCTTCCCCCTCCTTCCCTTTATTTATTCCTCTCCTCTGCCCCCCCTTTTCTTCCTCTCCTCTCCCCCCCCTTTTTCCTCCTCTCCTCTTCCCTCCCTTCCCCTTCCCTCCCTTCCCTTCCCTCCCCTCCCCCCTCCCCCCCTTCCCACGTGGATGTTATTATTTAAATTGTTAGTGGCGAGGTAGGCGTTGTCCGAATGTGTGCGAGCTTGGCGGTAGGCGTGGGTAGGAGTAGGGGGGAGGGGGGGGAGGGCAGGGGAAGGGGAGGATGCCAAGGATAAGGTTAGGGGAAAGAGGGAGAGGTGCGAGGGGGGGTGGAGGGGTGGAGGGGTGGGTGTTGCGGCGGAGGCTAAGGGATTGGCTAAGAGACACGACGAGGAAGCGATAGGGGTGGGGGGAGGGGGGGAGGAAGGCAGGGCAAGGGAGTACGTAATTGGCATTTGTGGGGGGGGGGGTGGAGAGGTAAGGGTGTATGGGGAAGCGGCATGGGAGGGGAAATGGAAAGGGATATTTAGGGATAGGAATAGGGAAGAAAGGGCGAAAGAGGGGAGAGGGGGGGAGAAGGAGAAAGGGGGAGGGGCATATTTATGGCACGGCAGGGGGTGGGAGGGGAGGGGAGGGAAGGGGGTTGATGGTATGAATTCATTATGTGAATATTAAGTTGCATTTCCAGCAGCCCTGATTTACGTGTATTTAACGTGATGTTTACACCTCCCTCACTCACTCTGTCGCCATCTCCCCCCTCCCCCCCCGCCTCGCCCTTTCCTCTTTCAGTCCTCTTTCTCCCCTTCCTTACTCTCCTCCTTCCTTTCTTCCTTTTAAATCCTTTCCCTTCTAGTTCTCTTCCGTTATTCTTCTTCTGCTTCCCTTGTCTCTTGTTCTGTCTTTGTCTCTCCCCATTCGTGCTCCCTTTCCTCTTCTCTTTCCCTCTGCCCCTTCCTCTCTCGTCTTTTCTGTCTCCCTTCTTCCCTTCTTTCCTCTCCTCTTCCCTCTGTTCCCCTTCTCCCTTCCCCTCCCCTCCCCCCTTCCCCCTCCTTCCCTTTCTTTATTCCTCTCCTCTGCCCCCCCTTTTCTTCCTCTCCTCTTCCCCCCTTTTTCCTCCTCTCCTTTCCCCTCCCCTTCCCCTTCCCTTCCCTCCCCCCTCCCCCCCTCCCCCCCTTCCCACGTGGATGTTATTATTTAAATTGTTAGTGGCGAGGTAGGCGTTGTCCGAATGTGTGCGAGCTTGGCGGTAGGCGTGGGTAGGAGTAGGGGTAGGGGGGGAGGGCAGGGGAAGGGGAGGATGCCAAGGATAGGGTTAGGGGAAAGAGGGAGAGGTGCGAGGGGGGGTGGAGGGGTGGAGGGGTGGGTGTTGCGGCGGAGGCTAAGGGATTGGCTAAGAGACACGACGAGGAAGCGATAGGGGTGGGGGGGGAGGGGGGAAGGAAGGCAGGGCAAGGGAGTACGTAATTGGCATTTGTGGGGGGGGGGGGGGTGGAGAGGGTAAGGGTGTATGGGGAAGCGGCATGGGAGGGGAAATGGGAAGGGATATTTAGGGATAGGAATAGGGAAGAAAGGGCGAAAGAGGGGAGAGGGGGGGAGAAGGAGAAAGGGGGAGGGGCATATTTATGGCACGGCAGGGGGTGGGAGGGGAGGGGAGGGAAGGGGTTTTGGGGGGGTTGGGGTCGTGCCTAGGAGAGCGTTCGGCCGTGCTTGCGAGATCCGTGGTTGTTGCGCCTTGTCATTGTTATTGTTATCATTGTTATTAATATTGTTATCGTTATTATTACTGCTATAGTTATCATTATCATTATCATTATCATTATAATTATCATTATCGTCATCATCATCATCATCATCATCATTATCATTATCGTCATTATCATTATTAATACTGTTATTATTATTACCATTATTATTGGTATTATTACTATTATCACCGATTCCACTATTACTGATATAATTGTTTCTGACGTTTCTATGGTTCTCTCCTCTTCGTATTTTTTATTATTATTATTGTTGCAATTCCTTTACTAGTGGCACTAGTGAATTGTATGAATAGTAGCCGTAGTGAGTAGAAGTAGCTTAAAAGAAATTGCAATAATATTAATGATAAAGAGTTGTGATGAAGATTTTGTTTTTTTTTATGCTAATGCTGATGCCAGTAATAGTTGTGATGGTGATATAAAGATGGAATTATGATAATGGTGATAATGATGGTAATGATGGTGACTGATAATTATGATAATGACTGAGAGTAATGGTAATGCCTAAGGATAATGATAATGATATTAAATAGTGATGATGATAACGATATGATGTTGATGAAGATGTTGACGATGATACCTGTAACAATATATATATATATATATATATATATATATATATATATATATATATATATATATATATATATATATATATGTATGTACATATATATATGTATGTATGTACATATATATATATATATATATATATATATATATATATATATATATATATATATATATATATATGTACATATGTATAATGATAACAATAAGGAGGATAACTAAGAATAGTAATGCTACGGATGATGATATAACAGAGAGTAAAAGCGAGGCAGTTCGAACGATAGCGCCGCCACGGGTCACGAGCCCAGCGCCGATAACAGCGATAAGAACAGCGGCACGGAAGACAGCGGCCGCGTCTCCCCCCTCCCCCCTCGCCTCCGCCGCTGGCCGTCTCGCGCTGACGTGCCACGGGCTAGGTGGGAGGGGGGGGGGGGTTGGGGCTTAAGACGTCTAGGCCTCCTTAAGAAGCCCTACAGGGAGTGCCAGTAGCTTGCGATGACCTGGCACTGTGGGAAGAGCAGCGAGCGTTGGGTCACCTGAGTGGCTCGTTCGCTCTCGCTCGCTCTCGTTTCTTGCTTTCTTTCTTTCTTTTTTTTCTTTTATTATTATTATTATTTTTTTAATTTCGAGGTCGAGGTTGAGTCATTGCGTTGGGGATTTTTACGGATTTTGTTCCATTTTTTATGGTGTTTATTATTATTTTTTTTAAATCTTATTTTACTTGATTTATGGGCGTGCGTTTTATTATCGTTTATTTATTTCCGTTTATTTGTTTTTGATTTATTTCACTTTATTTTATTTTATTTATTATTATTATTATTATTATTATTATTATTATTATTATTGTGTGTGTGTGTGTGTGTGAGTGAGTGAGTGAGTGAGCGAGTGAGTGAATGAAAGAATGGTTTTAAACGTCTAGTGAGAAGAGGAAAGAAAAGGGAAAGAAAGAAAGAAAGAAAGAAAGAAAAAGGTTTTCCTTGGGCAGTGGCGCAAACGTCGGGTTAAGATAATGTTATGTGGAGGCGGCAGATAATGTTGGTAATCATTGGGTCACGAGGTGGAGGGAGAGAGGGAGAGAGGGAGAGAGAGAGGGAGAGAGAGGGAGAGAGGGAGGGAGAGAGGGAGAGGGAGAGGGAGAGGGAGAGGGAGAGGGAGAGGGAGAGAGGGAGAGGGAGAGAGGGAGAGGGAGAGGGAGAGAGAGGGAGAGGGAGAGGAGAGAGGAGAGGGAGAGGGAGAGAGGGAGAGGGAGAGGGAGAGAGAGAGAGAGAGGGAGAGAGAGAGAGGGAGAGAGAGAGAGGGAGAGAGAGAGAGGGAGAGAGAGAGAGGGAGAGAGAGAGAGGGAGAGAGGGAGAGGGAGAGGGAGAGAGGGAGAGGGAGAGGGGGAGAGGGAGAGGGAGAGGGGGAGAGGGAGAGGGAGAGAGGGAGAGGAGAGGGAGAGAGGGAGAGAGAGGGAGAGAGAGGGAGGGAGAGAGAGAGAGGGAGAGAGAGAGAGGGAGAGAGAGAGAGGGAGAGAGAGAGAGAGGGAGGGAGAGAGAGAGAGGGAGAGAGAGAGAGGGAGAGAGAGAGAGAGAGAGAGAGAGAGAGAGAGAGAGAGAGAGAGGGTGGGGGGTAGGGAGAGGGAGAAGGCGATAGGGAGAAGAAGAAAGAGATGGAGTGACGGATGAAATAAAGGATGTTGGGGAAAGGAATATAAGAGATAGGAAGAGAAAGCGAGCGATAGATATGTATAGGGGAAGAAAGAAGGATCAGGAGGAAATGGAGAACGGAGAGGGAGATGGGGGAAGAGAAGAGAGGAAAGGCGAAAGGGGGAAAGAGGGAAGGAGGGAAAGAGACTCAGAGAAGTGAAGAGAGACGGGGAAGGGAAGAGGGGGGGGGGGGGTCGAGGGTTCGTCTGGGTGAGTGGGTTCGCCTGTCATGACCTGACACGCCCTCCCCCCTCCTCCTCCCCCTCCCCCTCCCTCTCGCACGCCACTCCCCTCGCCCTCTCCCCTTCCCCCCCTCGCCTCGACTTCCCGATACTACACCCCAATCAGCTCTCCCCTCTCCTCCCCCCTCGCTCTCTCCCCTCTGCTTCCCTACCCCCCTCCCCTCTCTCTGTCTGTCCCCGCCCCTCTCCTCCCTTCATCCTCCTCCCCTCTTTTTTTTCCCCCTCTTTCCTCCCCCCCTCCTTCCCTCTTTCCTCTCTCCCTTCCCTCTCCGTTTACCATCTTCGATTCTCCTCTCTTCGCCCCCCCCCCCTCTCCTTTTTTTTTTCCTCTCATTCCTTTCTTCACACCCTCTGTGAGACTTGTCGTCGCCCGTCCGCCCTCACGCCCGCACGGTTCTTTCGTCCGCCGCCCACCATCCGCAGCAGCGACTACCCACCATAGTTTTCCATCACTTAAGCCTTCCTGGAAACGCAGCGTCTCGGCGAAAACACTCACGCCCACCGCGGCAATAGTCATCACCACGCCTTCAAAGGGCCGCCCACTCACAGCCGTATCTGTTGTAGTGGCTATGTTCAACAACGGCCACTCATATCCCTACGGTGGTCGTTGTGTGGCCATATATCCTACAACGGCCGGCATGCGTTCTATTTTGCTTGCATTGCCCTCCATTCCGTCGTCACTCTACTTATAGTGCCCCCCCCCCCCCCCGCCCACCACAACCACTTCTGTACGTGTCTTATAGTATTCGGCGCAGCTACTTACACTATCGCATCCACGTTTGGTCATCTCCCATTGTCCATTGTCCATCGCCCACCGCCCACTACCCACTGCCCACCGCCCACTATCCACTGCCCTTCGCTCACCGCCCACTACCCACTGCCCACTGCCCACTATCCACTGCCCTTCGCTCACCGCCCACTACCCACTGCCCACTGCCCACTGCTTACTATCCACTGCCCACCGCCCACTACCCACCGCCCACTGCCCACCGCCCACCGCCCACTGTCCACTACCCACTGCCCACCGCCCACTGTCCACTACCCACTGCCCACTGCCCACCGCCCACCGCCCACTGTCCACTACCCACTGCCCACCACTCACTACCCACTGCCCACCGCCCACTGCCCACCGCCCACCGCCCACTGTCCACTACCCACTGCCCACTGCCCACCGCCCACGCCCACTGCCCACCGCACCGCCCACTGTCCAATACCCACTGCCCACCGCCCACCGCCCACTGTCCACTACCCACTGCCCACCGCCCACTGTCCACTACCCACCGCCCACCGCCCAGCCACAGCGCCACCGCATGAACGCCCCGCCCCCCCCGCCGCCGCCTCTCCGTCGCCCATTCGACATATTGGATAAATTGGTTTTATTCCCGTGTTATTATTTTTTGTTCTGCTACCTTTTATTTTATATTATTTCATATGTATATATATTTTTTTCGAGGATGGGGGGGAAGGGGGGGAAGGGGGGGTTATTTTTATAATGGTTTGCATTGCAGTGTCCTTGTAAATATGCGCTGTGTGTATTATATTTTTCTGGCTGAAGTGAATGCCCCAAAACGTGTATTTTTTCTCTCTTTTTTTTCTCTCTCTTTCTCCCTTTCCCCCCCCTCCTCTTTTTTTTTTCTTTCTCTCTCTGTTCTTTTCTCTCTCTCCTTTCTTTTTACGTGCTTTCGCTTTTGTCCATTTTTTTTTCTTTCTATCTCTTTTTTTTAATCTTTTTTTTGAAAATTTTACTTTGTTGTTTTTTTTTCTTCATCTCTTTTCTTCTTTTTTTTTTGTCTTTATGTTGTTTCCACTTGTCATCTCTTCTTTCCTCTCCTTTCTCTTTTTCTTTTTTTGAATTCTTCCTCTACCTGGGTTTATTTTTTTTCTCTTTATCTTTTTCTTGTTTTTGTGTGTTTTTTCTTTGTTTTGACTTACTTCCTGTTTTCTTTTGTTTGATTTACTTTGTTTCTCTTTTCTATTATTTATTTTTTCTCTTCCCATCCTCTTTCTTTTCTCTCTCTCTCTATCTCTTCCTTTTCACTTCTCCTCTTCCCCTTCCCACTTCTTCCTTTCCTTCATTTCTTCCATCCTTTCTTCCCCTCTCTTTGCGCCCTCCTTCCCTTCCCCACTTCCCCATCCCTTCCCCTCTATCCCCCTTCATCCCGTTAATACCAAGTAGCGAAGGAGAGAGAGAGAGAGAGAGAGAGAGAGAGAGAGAGAGAGAGAGAGAGAGAGAGAGAGAGAGAGAGAGAGAGAGAGAGAGAGAGAGCAATGGAGGAAGGATTTTTTAGAGAGAGAGAGAGAGAGAGAGAGAGAGAGAGAGAGAGAGAGAGAGAGAGAGAGAGAGAGAGAGAGAGAGAGAAAAAAAGAGAAATAGATAAATAGATAGTAGACTAGGTGCCGCGTCTCGCTGCTTCTGCCTGTTTACCTTGCCACCGAAGGTCCGTTTTTGCTGTCGAGGGGGGGAGGGGGGGAGGGAGAGGGAGAAGGAGGGAACAGGAGAGGAAGAGAGAAAAGGAGAGAGAAGTAAAGAAGTATCGGAGTGGAGGAATACGAGAGAAGGTAGGCAGATGGAAAAGATAGAGACGAGAGCGAGCGAGCGAGAGAGAGAGAAAGAGAGAGAGAGAGAGAGAGAGAGAGAGAGAGAGAGAGAGAGAGAGAGAGAGAGAGAGAGAGAGACCGCTCGCTGAGCCGCCGTCGCCAAGTCGCCGCTCGCTTCTTAGACTTTTTGCTTTTTTTTCTCTCTTTTTTTTTTTCCTTTTTTTGTGTTTTTAAAAATCCTTTTGCCTCTCCCTCTTTTCTTGCTCGGTCTTTATCTTTTCTCTCGTTCTCTTTCTTGCCCTGTCTTTTAGCTTTCCTTTCCTTCTCTTTCTTCCTTTGTCTTTGTATTTTCTCTATTTCTCTTTCCTTTGTTAGTTTCTCAGTCATTGTTTTTTTTTATCTCTCTCCTCCCTCTCTTCTTTTTCTTCCTCTTCTTTTTTCATATCCTTTTTCTCCTCCTCCTCCTCCTCCTCCTCCTCCTCCTCCTCCTCCTCCTCCTCATCTTCCTCCTCCTCCTCCTCCTCCTCCTCCTCCTCCTCCTCCTCCTCCTCCTCCTCCTCCTCCTCCTTCTCCTCCTCCTCCTCCTTTTCTCCTCCTCCTCCTCCTCCCTCCTCTCTCCTCCTCCTCCTCCTCCTCCTCCTCCTCCTCCTCCTCCTCCTCCTCCTCTTTCTCCTCCTCCTCCTCCTTTTTCTCCTCCTCCTCCTCCTCCTCCTCCTCCTCCTCCTCCTCCTCCTCCTCCTTACTTCGTATTTTGTTTGCTTGCGCGTGTGAAGCAAGCAAACAAAAGCAAGAAATAAATATCACGAATTGAAAAGTGAAAAAAAAAATTAGGTTTACAAATTTGAAGAGAAAGAGGGGGGGGGGGAAACACGAGGGGAGTGCGAAAGGAAGAAGAGAAACGAAGAAGAAAAGGGGAAGGAAAGAGAAGGAAAAAAAGTGGGAAATTCAAGGAGGAAGAAGGAACGTGGGAGAGAAAGAAGAGGAAAATGGAGTGCGAGAGAGAGAAAAGTGCGAGAGAAAGATGAAAATGGAGAAGAGGGAAAGAGAAAGAGGAGGAGGGAAGAGAGTGAAAGAGAAATATGAGAAGGGAGAACAGTGAAAGAGAAAGAAGAAAGGGAAGAAGAGTGCGAGAGAAAGAGGAGAAGGGAGGAGAATGCGAGAGAAAGAGAGGGAAGGAGAGTGAAAGAAAGATGAGAAGGGAGGAGTGCGAGAGAAAGAAAAATATTATAAATGAAAGAAATAGAAAGTTGCGAGTGAGAGAGAGAGAGAAAAAAACAGATAAGAAAAGGGAGGAAAGTGTAAGAGAAGAAAAATAAAACGAGTGAGAGAGA